CCCAAAAAAAAAAAAAAAAAAAAAAAAAAAAAAAAAAAAAAAAAAGAAAAAGAAAAAAAAAAAAAAAAAAAAAAAAAAAAAAAAAAAGGATGGAGATTTTCATCGAACAGTTAATCTGCGGATATATGAATAAAATACTGAGGATTAATTTTTGGGGATGGCTTGTAGCATTATTGCTTGGCAGCAGAAATTAGCAGCTTCAGCTAAGGCATTAAGGTCTGACATTTGATCTGATAATCAAATGCTTCTAAATTATATCTCCCACCCTTCCAAGCAGAGGCCATTGATTCTCAACAGAAATAGGCAGGACGGAGCTACCTACCCGTGTAGGCTTACAATAAATCCACCTAACAAACGTCATTCAATTAAGAGATCAGTGATTCACAATCAAAAAGGGAGGTTGTTGTTGTTTAGGAATTCATTAAGCCCCTAGTTGAAATTACTGTCATCATCATCCTTACAGCCCAGGGTGGGTCTTAGCCTGGTCCAGTATGTCTCTCCAGACTGCTCTGTTCAGGGCTTTCTCCTTCCAGTTCCTGACACCGTTAACTTTGAGGTCGTGCTCTACGCCATCTAACCATCGGAGTTTGGGTCTGCCACGACTTCTGCGGCTCTCTGGTTTGCCGTAGTTGTCTTGGCATACTGGTCTCCTCCATTCGAATTACATGTCCTGCTCATCGTAGGCGTCCAATTTTTATAGTTTTTATGATATTAGGATCCTTGTAAATATCATACAACTCGTGGTTATACCGCGTCCTCCATATATCGTTTTCCTGCACAGCACCGAATATCCGTCTTAGGATCTTACGCTCGAACACAAGTAGACGGTTCTCATCTTTTTTGGATGGCAGCCCTGGTGTTTGAAATTACTATGTAACGCTTTTAATTTTAGAACGTTTTTGTGATAAACTCGATCGTCATTCAATTTGACAATATATATAATTTTGAGTACTTGTGAGATATGAACATGTATATTTGTTTTTTTAAAAAAGCACATTATCGGAGGTAAGGGGTAGGTACACACTGGATGCGGTTGCTTACGAAATCTGTACACAAAACCGCCCGCAAAACAATGTCACGCCCAGCCATATAGTCTTATAAACCTGCAAGGAGGGAGTATTAGAAAAAACTAAACATATTCTGCTAAAATTATACATACTTCTGCTGCTCGTACTCGGATAGCTAATATTTAAAGAAAGTATTTTTCAAGGCCAACGTTATGACACCCAGTGAAACACTTAAACCTGCTTGTACAAACAGCGCCCGTGTGCCGTGTGATACTAATACGTTGTACGACTAGATCCAACGACGTGTAGGTGAAGAAATCTTGATACGGTCACGAGTTTGTTACATTGTTCTATTTATAAACGATCTATACAAATAATTGAGTGCGTTGGCTTTAAAATAATTTTCTTCTTCTTCTGAGTCGGTCTCTTCGTTGCTAAAGATCCTGTCTAGTTTGAAATGTTGACCACTCGATGCACTCTGCTTCCCCATGTCTTCCTGTCCTCAGCTTCTTTCTTCTTCTTATAAGCCCACAGACGTCCACAACTAGACATAGGCCTCCTCCAAGCCTCGAAACAAAGACCGGTCCTGCGCTGCCTGCATCCAGCAGATCCCTGCGAACCTTAATAGATCGTCAGTCCGTTTTGTGGGAGGCCTACCCACACTACGTCTTTCGGTACGCGGTCGCCACTCAAGAACTTTCTGGCCTCGGCAGTCTTAAATAAGTTAAAAGTTTTTAATTTTATTTTTTCAGTAACTGTGCGCAATTTTTTTTTAATTGCTATATTAGAGACATATCCAGTCCGGCAGGAGACGTTATTGTTAAATAAACAAAAAATATGATGTCACCACCATTAAAATTCAGATATACGAAAGTGATAGAAACACGATCGAAATTCTAAATGAACTATTCTTAAAATTTTTGTTGTTATGTAAATTTGAAACTAATTTCGATGCTGTTTTCACAATATAATATTATTGTCATGGGTATTTGCTTTTGTTTTTTTAAACAGTCTCGACCTTTTTTTTTTGTACCATACAGATAGTGAAATTTAAAACTAATTTCTTCCGTGACACCGAGAAACTTTATAAACCAATACTTAGAAAAATTTTGCGTAATTACTGGTGGTAGGACCTCTTGTGAGTCCGCACGGGTAGGTACCACCGCCCCGCCTATTTCTGCCGTGAAGCAGTAATGCGTTTCGGTTTGAAGGGTGGGGCAGCCGTTGTAACTATACTGAGACCTTAGAACTTATATCTCAAGGTGGGTGGCGCATTTACGTTGTAGATGTCTATGGGCTCCAGTAACCACTNCTTGTGAGTCCGCACGGGTAGGTACCACCGCCCCGCCTATTTCTGCCGTGAAGCAGTAATGCGTTTCGGTTTGAAGGGTGGGGCAGCCGTTGTAACTATACTGAGACCTTAGAACTTATATCTCAAGGTGGGTGGCGCATTTACGTTGTAGATGTCTATGGGCTCCAGTAACCACTTAATATCAGGTGGGCTGTGAGCTCGTCCATCCGTCTAAGCAATAAAAAAAAAATTAACAGATACATTTTTTTTTTAATACTAATTGAACATACAACGTACGAAACAATTTCAAATTCTAATCAAGTACATTCTAATTTCAATAAACAAATTAGTTTTGTGTGAACGTAAACATTCGGAATTTATAGTTCTACAAAACGTGCACTGCGAGCGTAATAAACAGTGCGCCACAGCTAATACGAGCCGTAGTCTAGAAATCTAGATCTAATCACGTATACATCGTGACCTACATAGTTTGGATCCCGAACGAAAGTTTAATTTATTTTAGAAATTACACTCATGATAATTGAATTTAATACGATTTAATAGAATCTCGTAAATGTAAGCAGTTCAGTGTGCTTATCTCGATCGCGTAAAAGTTAACGTCAAATTTGTATGGAGTTGGAAAGTTTGCCCACGTTTGCCGCTAAGGGCGCTGTTCGAACTGCATACAAATTTGAAGTTAACTTTTACGCTATCGAAAACGTTAAAACTCGCACTAAGCGCACAAGTCACAGAACTGGGCAATGTGGAATTAAATTGATAAATGTCGCTAATAACAAGGGAATTAGATTCTAAGAATGGGTGTCGCGGTTTAACCTGTTTCTATCGTGATACATTTAAATCTCCTGCTTGAAGAGCGGGAAAACTGTTAAATAATTAAATGTTTAATCTGATATCTCATTCCGACACGTACTTTCTCGGATTTTTTTAACCTAAATCATTCGACACGCAACAGAAAAACCCTTTTATGATACTTTAGAGTATTATCATGACTTACCTAACACAAAAAATTACAATTTACCGTAAATAAAAATTACATGAACGTTGTTACAGGTAACCCACAAAACATCAGCGAAGGTCATGGTGTTGAAAATGAACCAGCAACGGGCTAACAGACCGAACATGCTCCGAGAAGTGCAGCTCATGAACAAGTTGAAACATCCGAATATACTTGGGTGAGTGATATCTCTATACAGAGTTGGTGATATCTCTATACAGAGAGATATCAATAGCAACAGGGATTCTTCTTCTCAGTCGTTGGGCACTCTTGGCAGAGTGGCCGTGGTCATTTTTTTTAAGGGATTTTATGACCTGGTAACTAAGACCTTTAAGTCATGTCTTATTAAAATTTATATTCTTATTTTTATGAAAAATGATTATATGGAGTGAAATGAAATGAAGATGATTAATTTGGAACATTAATCAACTGGGATGAAATTAAATGAAATGAAATGAGATGATATGGGATGAAATATAATATCAGTAAAATGGTGTTCATTTACTGTGGTTTTTTCAGTGGGCTTTTTGGAGGATACCGAGAAGTTACGTCCAGTGGCTTTGTTTCATTTTCCCACATTTGTGCACTTTCACAGATAAACAGTTAATAAATCACCGTTATTACACCTGTTAAACCTGAAGAAACACTAAATAGACAAAATAAAACAAATCACATACCTTAACTCCTCGCGTTCCCGCCAAAAAGTCCGGCCGTGGTCATCAGTTCGGGTAGTGGTAAGCTTCACAAGACGTCGCCATGCCTCGCGTACCGCTACCCTTCTTGTGCAATCGTTGCCAATAGCGGTTAATAGGGATTACTCAAATGCTATCCAAAGTACTTTTCATATGTAGACAATCCCATAGACACAGCCCACTGAGTTTCTCGCCGGATCTTCTCAGTGGGTTTCCGATCCGTTGGTAGATTCTGTGAAGCACTACTCTTGCTAGGGTCAGTGTTAGCATCAGTACGGTTTGAGCCCCGTGAGCTCACCTACTAGCTAAGGTTACGCTGAAATAGCCTCTCAAGGCTATCAGCTTCGGTAGGAAAAAAATAAGTAGACAATAACAAACAAAAAAACACATTAACAATTAACTATAAAAATCTAAAAAATAATGTGCGAATGTGATCCAGACAAAAATGTAAAATTAAATGTGCTGAGCAACCATCGATCATAGTTAATTGATACTAATTACAAAATATGAAGACACTTATAAATAATGTTAATTACCAAGCGGATACGAAACTGATTTTCATCTACATTTTAATGAACATATATTTCTGGGTCGTCATTAACATTTAGATCAGGAATTCGTCTTCAAATGTCATAAGTTATTATAAATATAATAATAAAAAAATGTTGGCCAATGCTGACCACAAAAGCTTAGCGTAATGTCGCATGTATTGCCCTGCCTAGTAGTTCTGTTGGCCGCAGAAGCACACTAAAGCGTAATAAATAGTGGTTTCATTAGCTTGACCTGTATATCTACCGATTTATGTAACGGAATCTTTCAGTGTAATTTGAAAACTACAACGTGTCCAATTAAATTGACAATTTTGCACACGTGTAAACACTTTCTCACCTTTATACGAAAACATTCCAATAACAAAACAAAATAGAAGATGAATCTAAGTCAAATTTTGACTACTGGGCGAATGCTGGCTAGAATAATACGCTTATAAAAAGAAAAGGATTTTCTAAAATCACAAATTAAATTGACGGGATGTTATCAATGATCATCTCAATACATAGAGACTTTGATGTCTCAATGTGGGTGGCAACATTCATATTGCGTCAATGAGCATTTGCAGCCCAATAATATTTTATTTACGTTTGTTTAATGGTTTAATATTCTTGTCATAATAATTTATTTAAATTAGTATTGTAATATTAGCGAATATCCTATAACGGCTGTTTATACCTATCTACATATATAATAAATTAATTCTATCTGTTGCATGAATATCAATTTATGTTGCCTTGATATTTTCGATGCAAATCATTATTGGTAGAATTAATATAATATGTTTTAAATTTTATTTTTTATTTTTCATGCTTTTAGATTTGGATATTTGTAATGGTTGAGTAATTATTTACGAGTTAAAAATATCAATCGCTACCGCAAACGAAAATCATTCGAAACATCTGAGATCGTAAAATGATCAAAATAATCTCGAGATTAAACGATTGCAGTGTTTCAGCAATGATAATACCATAAGAATAAATTAACTGTGAGTTTGACGTCATCAATACGTATAGACAATAGGTACGCTGTTATTAACGACGTCAACGGGTCATGTGTGCCGAGTTGATTGCACCCCGGCCACTGTTCGGCTCCGAATCGCTAAGATGATGCGATATGTGTAATTAGACTGGAGCTATGATGCCAAATCGAAATCGAAATATGAATTCGAGAATAATATTCAAAATTCAATTGCTTTGGTACAACAGATTTCCGATCCACCGAACAAACCAGGATTGCTTCGCGTTTTGTTTTGTTGAACAAAGAACCAAATGATTGTTCTATCATGAAAAGAGCACAATTAGTATTAGTATGTCTATAATAATTATAATATGCAGGAATGCAAGAAATCCAAAGTCGCATCCCGCAAATACCGCTACTGAGAAGTGGTCTCAACATGGGCTTTATCAAAAAGCCCAAAGTTAAAAAGCAATACCGAAGGCTATCCTTGGATTATGAATTTGAAATCAGGATATTCACGGGAAAACCCTGGTAACCAAGTACAGCCCCAAAGGATTCCGAGGCCGAAATGGGTAAAGCACATTGCTCCCAGAATAAATGGCTACTGGGGCTAAAAAGTCCTAGAAGGTCGATCGACGACCTGTTGAAGGTCTCGGGAATCTACTGGATACGAACAACCCTCTGTGTTGAAACTTGGGAGATGCTTGTCTTTAGACTTTATGTATTTGATGTCTGGTATTGCAAAAGATACAGCAAAAAAAGTATTATACTAAACGTAATCCTCTAAGGAATGTTTGGCATTAGACACATAATTTGATATTCGAATGAATTCTGTTGTTTTTGATGTCGAACAATTTACTTTGGCACCGAATTAAGAATCTTCAAATAAACCACCTGATGTTTGTGAGACGAAACGTGTTTTGCCAAAATTTACGTTCGCAACGCGATTGTTTTAATTATTTAAGTAATAGCGTTGTGTCACTTTTAGCGTTTCTTAGCATGGCTGTTTACTACGACTGTCAAAAAACAATGGAACCGGGCCACTTTTCAGGCACTTTGGTTTACTATTGAGGAAACAATAAATAGTCAACAAACTTCATAGTGAAAACCATTCGGTTATAATAAAGAAAACATTGCATTTCAGCAAAAAAATACACGGCCGGTTGGTTATCAATGACTCATTCAAACAATATGTATAATAATTTACGTATCTTTAACAAGTTCGCAAATATGTATTGCCCGTATTAGGTCGCCGACGGTATGGTTTCCCCTTTGTTCTCAGTGTTTGTGTTGACCAAACAACCTGGGTAGGTTTGTTTACTACATTTTTCAGGGTTGTGTCATCACATACCGTATTTAACGTGATTTTTTCTAGATTTTTATTATGAAATGGAATTATGGAAAATAATGAACAAATAATGCTTACACATAAAGTGTCACTAGAATTTTCAATTAAGTTTGGAGATATCTTCGGTAATTAGATTTTTTTCTGAGCTGTGTAGGAAAAGGCAAAACAATGGTCGTGGTAATTTTGAGTCTTTGTTCGGAACTAACAGTGTTAATTAAAAACCCTTCTTAGAAGGCAACCTCGATGTGGTTCACCTGGTGGAAATTGGCCACCGTCACTCCTGGACATCAGTCAGTGTCAGGGGTACAGCCAAACCACTGTCTGCCGCTGTGGACCGCTTATTTTATTAATAAATTATTGGAAAGAAACTACGATGTAAAACATGACCAAAATTATATTTAAATGAATCCTTTATCGGTCTATCCGATATTTAAACATAATTTATCTGATACCGTTTATACAGAAACAAGATTATAAGATAATAGTATAGAATTGCTAAATTTAAAATATATCTACTATGTTTCTTGCTAAAATTCTTCAAAATTAGCCAATCTCTAATTTTAATAAAACAATAAATCTTTTTACACAATCTAATTATAAATTAAAATTTCGTTTGGATTAAATCAGAAAAATCTAGATGTTAAAAAATCAGGCTCAGCTCAGTTGTATCCTTGATAAAGCGACCCGGTTTTTTTCGCTTCGCACACAGCCTTTTGTATTTCAATTGTCTGCCTCCGAATAATGACATTTTTATATATACTTCCTGAATCGGAATCGTGAATTTGCGTAATGTGTTACGAAATGAAAACGATGATCCGAACAATGGATGCCACAGACCCCCTCTCACCCTCATTCCGTGCGCTTCCTGTTCGCTTATCAGCGCAAACGAAAACAATGCCTCCTCTGTTTGCGATTGTTTGTCGTTTCTCGTTTATCTGCAATGCTTTTGGAGATCCTTTTTCTTGGTCGGCTTAAAAAAAAAGAAGCTTTCCTATTGATTGATCATTTTTATTGACCAACAGTGACAAACGGTAGTTGCTACAAAATCCTAACTAATTGACCTAAAACATGACTTGTTAACGTTAATGCCGTAAATGAACAACGGCCAATTGTTGTTAGATTTCTAAGGTGACATACTGCTGTTAATTTTAAAAGAACTTATTCACAATGCCACAATCTGAGTTACATTTGAATCCGCTATCCACGTGTGGCGAGTCATGATAATTGCAACAACACCGCGGAATATGGGAACGGCCTGGTCGTGGGAACGAATATTTTTGAATCTAACAACGGCGTCAAGATTGATTTCCAGCTAATGGTAGATCGGATAAATGGTGCTGCGAATATACGAGCGAGCTCAAACCACTTGGTGCTCATTTATCTCCAGCATAATCAGAAACAACAATAAAAACCACACCTATAAAATGTTGAAATGATTTGAAATATTTTGATAAACCGAACACTGAGTCGATAATCACGCAAAAACGATCAATTAAACACCGTCCGAAGTTTTTTTTTCCAAAGACTCACTACGATCGAGGAAACTTTATGATTAAATGGACACTAATAATGCAAACATGTCAATTAACTTTAACGCTTGAATTTTATTGAAATATTTCTTAAGAGTAATAATGATTTCTTCGTGCAATTTTACGAGAGAGCACTGTAGCTGTTATTTATAATGTGGTAACATATATAATTTACCGAGGTGGTGGAATATTTCTTTTTTTTTCGTAGCGTAGCTCTTCGTTAGCGGGTTTTATTACGTACAATGGTCTTTCGCAGAAGGAATTAATTCGTAATTGACCGTCCCGTTGATTGCAAGATGACTATGAAACCTTGACATCGCCGTTCGCGTGATCTTCGCGACATCTACAAATTTTATTACTTTACCTCGTAGTAATTTGAGAATGTAAAAGAACGTAGCGAAATAGCATACAAATAATTCATTTCGACAACGGCGATAAAATCTCGAGGTTGAATCTCTGGAAGATTCTTGATGTCCTCTGGCAAAACGACAACATGTTGACCGCACGTATGCTGCGTTGTAAAAATAGATTGGTGTCTGTCGGTAGGTTGTGGTTGCGGCTTCGTTATTGAGCTCCCATAATGGGAAACATAATTTTAAAACTAGATCGAATCGGTCTACGATAAGATCTGACAAGTTGAAAACGTCAATGCATTCAATGGATCCATCATCCATTGTGATCGTCCCATCGGGAGTCGTTACGGTACCGCAATCTTTTTCCCAATTAGTTTCAAGCGCGGTTACATTTGGTTCTCTTCATTAATGTAATCGACTTTTTAAATCTCAATCAACCTTGATATTTGTTGAGAAGATTACGATTTGAATTAGAATCGTATTTACTATCGTCTACAGATTAAGAGAAGGCAGGTCATGCGAAACCTTGAACGAAGCTGTAATTAATGTAATAACAATTTTTACTGAATTCATCATTCGGTAGATTGTCGTGGCGCAATAATTCTTGAGTGATTGCGTTTGGACGGTATCTGTAATGTGGCCTGTATAGGCTAATCGCGTTCCCCGGGCTTTTCATCGTCTGACTCCACCCTTTATTCCAGAATGATGTATTGCTTCACTTTCTGTAATGAGACAAGATTCTATGCTGTACCACGGTATTAAGTGACGTTATTAGTTAGTAATAATATAGATTAATCGAAGTGCAATTTTGTAGGTAGACGAAATAAAAGAATGTTTTATTTTAACTCGATAGTAACTTATAATGAACTAATCTCGCTAAAGCATTTCGCAGACTTACAAAATAAATTCATTATATTATTATAACAATAAGACAGGTACTTAAGCAAAAAAAAATCGAAATAAAAATATGTGATGGAACCTTTTTTTAAGGAAAAGGCTGATAATTTAATAGTTTATTTTAGGTCATAGATATCACAAGGTAAATGCCGTGACCCACCTTGAGGTCCCCGTTTCAATTGTAAATCTTTTTGATGTATCGAATTCTTTAGTATTCTTGGTGGCCGTCGGAAATAATATAATGACAATAACGAAAAAAAAACGCGATCTTCTTAATTTATTCAATATACTAGCGAGCCGCCCTCGCTTCGCTTCGGAAACATTAAATTTTATTATTGATAGGCGAAGCCCGCCATGTTGCGCGCGGTACGACAATAACTACGGGTGACGCCGCGGGGCGAAGCTAGTAGAAAAAAAGTAGCCTAAGTTATTACCTTATATCACAGCTACCTATTAGTGAAAGTCTCATCAAAATCAGTCCAGCCGTTCCAGAATTTAGCCGGAACAAACAGAACAAAAAATGTAAAAAATGTTATTTTGGTGTATGTACCGTATATATATTCATCATATGCATGTAGTAAAAAACGGTTATTTCAATACTACAAACAGACACTCTAATTTTATTTATATGTATAGATTATCCTTTGCCCTGTTACGATGATAATTCACCAAACGATTACGTATATCCTGTGTATTTTAAAATGTCATTAATATTTGTAAACGTTTTTTTATTTTTCAGTTTTATGGGCGTGTGCGTTCACGAAGGTCAGCTCCACGCGCTGACAGAATACATGGAGGGCGGTTCCCTGGAACAGCTGATTCTGGGTCGACCTCTGGAACCGTTGCCCCAGCCGCTTCGGATATCCCTGGCGGCTGACGTGGCGGACGGCATGAAGTACCTGCATTCCCTCGGTGTCTTCCATAGGGATCTTACTACTAAGGTAAATTGCTTGGTTACGACATGTGCGACTGTTTTGGAACGAAGTTCCTTATGGGACGATGCGGAGGGGTACCCTAACCGGGAAAAAACGTCCATAACGTAAGATTTTTATTAGTAATGCACACAGTGTACGACTGAACTTTGTAATAACGTACAAAAAATAAACATATTTTTTAATTTATTTTTATCAATAAAATTATTTTTTATAAATAATTATTTTCTTTATACCTCGAATAGAACTTAAAATTAATATTTTTATAATAAGGAACTTCGTTCCTATCCGGTGTCCCACGACATCACACATTTTATTTTAATTACCTATGTAGGTAGACGAGTATACGGCCCACCTACTGGTAAACGGTTACCGTCGCTCATGGACGGCTGCAACCCCAGGGGCACAGCCATGTCGCTGCCTACCATTGAGAACTCTCCGCAAGCCTCGTTTGAAGAAGAACATGTCATAACTCGTTAAAGACCTTTTTTTTTTAATAAAACTTGGATTTTTATCGAGCTTCCGTCTCGTTCGCTGTTATTCGGGTACCGAAGCCCATAAACCTCAAAACATGAGCGCTGGTACCCATTTTGAGATATGAGTGAAGTCACAATCGCATTGATTATTATTTAACAGCCTTCCGAACTGAATCCCGCTTCGGTGGAAATAAGCACGACGAAGATATGGATTCGTATAAATTGTGTTCATGAATGCTCACGATCGGTTTTTTTTTTGCAGAATGTATTATTAAGAAGGTATGGAGAAGGAGATTATATGGCCGTCGTCGCTGACTTCGGTCTCGCCGCCAAAATACCTCATCCAGTGTAAGTTTTCATTTTAATAAAGAATTTCTTTAATTTCAAGAGCGTACGCGTTTTGTTTTTTTGCTCGTGATATCTATCATAAGCATTTAAGAAAACTAGTGGTCCCGCAGTAGTCGAAATTCGACTATAATTAATTGAAATTATAAGTTTGAACATTATTATGGTTCTATTGTCAAAGACTATTATTATACTACTATAATTACAGATTTTGCTAATATTACACTATAAACAATATTAACGTATTCTCAGAGCAACAAAAGTTTGACAATAACCATAGTGTAAACATATTAGTGTGTGTAATGTTTTCTTTATTGATTTAATGTATCTTTTATGCATTATTTCAAAAAAATATTAGCATTGTGCACTTCTTCTCTATATTCTCTGTAAGTGTGGAAAATTTCATACTCCTTCGTCCGCCCAATTTTCGTAAAAAGGGATACATAGTTTTTGCTTCACGTATTAATATATAAATGTCAAAAATCTAAACTGTAGAATCATCAAGATAGTTCGACAAATTCGAAAAATAACACGACTTTTATGTTGTAATTTCAATATCCTTTTAAAATAGCTCAGTAATTTTTTAAGCATCGAGAAAATACCAAAATTAGTCTCATAGAAAGAAATATGGCCGTCATGGGACCGTTACGATTTCGTGTGATATACGTTTGTATTTCCTTAATTTCGATGTAACATGTGAAATTGTGTCGCCGTTGTATTTTAGTAATCTTTCTTTTTTTATACCCTACCTCAGCTGCACAACTGAGGCGAAACTAATGAAACCTCATAAATAACGTGTTGAAATCCGTCAAAAGGTCCAGACGTAGATAGAACGTGCCAAAGAATTAGATATGTAGATACATATGTACACATACGCTCGCAAAACATTACCCCACTTCGGCAGTCGAGTGAAATATACCAAATTGGTAATAGTTTTTTTGACGTTATTATCCTTTTTTTTGGGTGAATGAGAATTGTAATTAAAGGTCTGTTTTTTTTATTTAAAGGACGGTATAGGTATGTATAAAGAGTTACGGAAAAAAGTCTATTCGATAAATACCTGCGATTACGTTCCCTTTTCCCTAATCGAACTTTGTCTGGGTAGAATTCGACAATTGGCTAACAAATTACGTGGGGGTTTGAATTCGGATTGCATTCCCACTCTGCCCAGAGAGAGATCAGCTAGTGATGTTTGGTTTTCATTTATGCTCAACGACAATATTTAACTCGACATATTGCAGAATAATTATTAGCTTTCCATAGAGAAACTATAGTATTGAAATAATTTTTCACGTTGAACTAGGTTAGTGAAATTATCCAAAAGAGAAAACCAATGTTTCTGGTAAATGAGTAAAATTGCTCAATAATAACACAGATTAAGATGTGATTGCGTGCGCAATGAAATGCTGGATCAGTGTGATTACGCGTTCAGTAAACACTTCTGTTCTCTTGATACAAGAGAATACTTCAAAAACGCAGTTAAGGCGAAAAGAATGTTGTTCTCTTAGAGTTGTAACTCTGCTTCTGTCTTCTTGCTAATGTGTTACCGAATAGACGATATCGCACATTCGGCTTTTACAAAATCGAATGGACCAAATTTCTGGTTAGGAACTACTATCTTGCCTATTGCTACGCGTCATTTCGGATCCTCCCGATCCACTAACGGTACTTTTAGGTACCTACCTCAAACACCGGTCATCGTTCTCGTCGAACCCGTCGCTTGCGACGAGTAAATTAACCCACAGATTCAGCGCACTGAGTTTCTCTCCGGATCTTCTCAGTGGATCGCGTTTTCGATCCGGTGGTAGATTCTGCGAAGCACGACTCTTGCTGGGGTTCATGTTAGCAATGTCGTCAGATTTGTGCCCCGCGAACTCACCTACTAGTTAAAGTAATATCCTCTCAAGGCTATTATTAGCTTAGGTATGAAAAAAACAAAAAAAAAGCCTATTGCTGTCGCGAAGCAGTCGTGCGTTCCAATGTAAAAGGTGCAACAGTTCTTATACATTAAAAACCTAGACCACGTATCTCAACACTATTAACAGGTTGTACGCCGGCGGCCCCCCGAAAACGCTTTATATGGTATATGACGAATATAAAAACAAAATATAGTAGTGTTTTACGAAAATGTTTAATACAACTCTCAAAGGTTCATCTCTGTACTCCCCTAAGGTAGACTGTCAGAGAATGCCTATGGCATTAAGTCCGCCTTTATACTGTTAAGTATATAAAGTTATAAATAAACTAGCTGTACTCGTCCGCTTCGCTGGGCATTTAAAATTAACATTATTATTTCTCACCCCCACAAAGATTCTCATCATTAACCCCCCCGCAACTGGTGTAGAGAGTCCAACACTCATATAAATATTAGCCTATCCATTAAGTACATGTATTCTCTACATGGATACCAAGTTTCAAGTCAATCGGATGCACGATTCAGTAGTTATAACGGAACATCCGTAAAAACCAGCGCTTAGTCCTTAAATGTCTCAAATGCAACCGGCGTACGATGTTTTAACACTACGATGTCTCTGCGATACCCACACATACACCAGGCGTGCCGTGAACGCGTTCACAGATATACGAATTTACAAAATATTTTCAACGAGCCGTCACGTTATACGCACGCCGGTTTCGCACGCAACCTGGCGTGTGTTTCGCACATTGGATAGTCACGGGTCATTTGTTAATAAAGTCAACGTCATAACGTCAACGTGAAAAACATTTTTTTATTGCTTCGATAGGTGGACGAGCTCACAGCCCACCTGGTGTTAAGTAGTTACTGGAGCCCATAGACATCTTCTACAACGTAAATGCGCCACCTGCCTTGAGATATAAGTTCTAAGGTCTCAGTATAGTCACAACGGCTGCCCCACCCTTCAAACCGAAATGCATTACTGCTTCACGGCAGAAATAGGCAGGGCGGTGGTACCTACCCGTGCGAACTCACAAGAGGTCCTACCACCAGTAATTACGCAAATTATAATTTTGCGGATTTGAGTTTTATTACGCGATGTTATTCCTTCACCGTGGAAGTCAATCGTGAATATTTGTTAAGTACGTATTTCTTTAGAAAAATTGGTACCCGCCTGCGGAATTCGAATACCGTTGCATCGCTAGATATGAATGCACCGGACGTCTTATCCTTTAGGCCACGACGACTAATAACAATTATAAATAATAATTTAATATTATTTTGTTGTGAATAGCATTGATTCTTGTATTTTTTTAAAGTTTATATTTATAAGGTACCTACACTTTTCAAAAATCCTTTAACGATTTCTGCAAAATATGTGAAAATAAGCTCAGCTTACTTAAAGGATTAATTCATTTTGATTTATAACATCGATTACCTATTACAAAACACTCAAACTTCGTTCGAAGAGAGACAAAACAGAGTGCTGGTAAACAATGAAAGAGTTTTATGTGGCGGTTACAACGGTGTGGCGGGTGCCATCATATAACGCAAGATATTTGACAAACGCCTGAATCTCGCTTACGACATTTTCAAGACAAGCTTGCATATATACAAATTCCGTACAACAACATTCGTCACGTCATTTCGGATACTCCCGATCCATTAACGGTGCTTTTAGGTACCTCAAGCACCGGTCATCGTCCTCATCGATCCCGTCGCGTGCGAGGAAGGGCTCGACGAGTAAATTAACCCACAGACACATCCCACTGAGTTTCTCGCCGGATCTTCTCAGTGGGTCGCGTTTTCGATCCGGTGGTAGATTCTGCGAAGCACGGCTCTTGCTAGGGTTCGTGTTAGCAACTTCGTCAGGTTTGAGCCCCGTGAGCTCACCTACTAGTTAAGGTTACGCTGAAATAGCCTCTCAAGGCTCTCAGCTAGGGAGGAAAAAAACAAAAAAAACAGCATTCGGACCGTCGGTCTACCGAGTAAATATCACCCGCTCGGTGGAAGATCTTTCCTTTTCGTTTAAGCCTCCTCATAGCGGTATAATATAAAAAAATGGTTTATTTCAGAAACGGCTACCGATTGCCGAGCGTCGGTTCGCCGTGGTGGATGTCGCCAGAGTGCCTACGCGGCCGATGGTACGACAACCGGTCCGATATATTCTCATACGGAATCATATTGTGCCAACTTATCGCCAGGGTGAGCTATTTATCTATACTAGTAATAATATTATAAAGCTGAAGAGTTTGTTTTAACGCGCTAATCTCAGGAACTACTGGTCCGATTTAAAAAATTCTTTCAGTGTTAGATAGCCCATTTATTGAGGAAGGCTATAGGCTATAGGCATATATATAACATGACACTAAGACCAATACAAGCGGAGCACCAATAAATAATGTTTCAAAATCGGGTCTTTTTCCTTTTTGAGAGCTTCCGCTGCGTGCGCTGCGGAAACGGTTAAAGTTCGCTAAAATAATATATGACAGAATTGTTCCCCTTTAAAAGATCTAAAAAAAAGTCCGACAGCATATGTCTATATGTTAAGGTTGGCTCACTATAACGTTTTTTATGCTAACCAAATTTGTTCTAAAATAAAGCATTATTTGTGAACTATTAATTCCACGCGGACGCTGTCGCGAGCAAAAGCTAATACTACATATACATTTTACATTACATATTTAATGCTCCGTTCGTCAATCGAACTTAGTTTATTGATATGAATAAACTAAAACATGTTTTTTTAAACCCACCTTACAAAAAAAATCAACAACTCAACAAACGAGAACATGAATATTAAGGCATCAGTCATAATCACCTTATTGAATTAAGACCTCTTAAAGAACTAAGGAATAAGAATTTTCTAAGCGTGTTAATTTAACAAGAAATATAGTATATAATGACGTCACTGTTCATCTCTGTCATACAATTTTTGTACCAGAACTCGGTGTGAAGGAAAGGGNCTCTCTCTCTCTCCCTCCCTCCCTCTCTCTCTCTCTAAGGACAGGGGAGAAGAAGAAAAACAAATGTGCATTTTGTTTGAATTCCGTTTTTTTTGGCGTCAGGTTGACGCCGATCCGGACGTGCTGCCGCGCACTGACAACTTCGGCCTCAACTACATGGCGTTCGTAGAGCTCTGCGATGAATACACCGTACCTGAGTTCCTGAGGCTTGCGTTCAACTGCTGCATTGTGAGTTCTTTTAACCGCTTCGAGAGCGAACCGTCAATAAATCGACTCTCTATTAATGCTTAGATGGGTCGACGATTAATATCACTACTAAATTCTGCCACAAACCTGGATACATGAGGTCTCAACTGTCATGCTATTGCATAGGATACCGTCAATGTAATAAAAAAAAGTTACTACTAAATCCTGACTTCATATGTGGCTAACCATTATATATTACATAAGCAATAATATGTTTCCTTGTGAAAAAGTCGGGTCTGTGGCTATTTTTGAACACACTGTTACTAACTGGTCGTTCAATAACTATATTATATGACAACCAACTTCAAGTGAATAATTTTGAAAATGTATCAGCTTATTGTTAATTTTGGCCCCAAATGACGTCATACACAATGTTTTTTTTAAACAAAACTTTTTCTGTTTTCTTTTCTTTTATTAAATTTCAAATAAATAAATGATTACAGTACGAGCCGAAAGCGCGTCCGCTATTCCCGGAAATAGTGACAAAGCTAGCCGAGGTGAAGGAGGGCCTCGACGACGCCGCTTGGAGCCTGCACTCCAACAACTCGCTCGAGAGGTCAGTCAGTACCACCACTATAGACACTGTGTTCATAATGTTTAATGTAAACTAAGACAAAAATGTTTGTAGGGAAACTATCGACATCTTGTAGCGGATGCCTCTAAACTTATATGTTGTTAAGTTAAGGCATTTAATTATTGTATAAATAACACAGAAAAAAGTATCTGTTATAGACAAATTGATTAAATCTTATCAATTTGTGGTTTCTGAAAATTTACAAAATCCTTCATTAAAAATAAAATATTATATAGGTAATATGTTACTGCCATCTACAGGAGCAACGAGAAACTAATCGAAGCGACGCCATCTAGCGGCCGACGCCCGTAAACACTTTTGTTGAGTGCTTGAGTTGCTTATCTATAACTATTATAATTTATGTGTATTATCTATAAACTCCACTACACGACGATCACTACCATTCTGTCAAGAGTGACACGATTGAGAAGAAGAATCTATGAACTAATGTTCGTTCGTGTTCGTAGTGAGGAGGCGGACTCGTCGGGACCGCGCTCCTGCCCCGGACTGTACGGCTGGAGGCGGCCGCAGCGACACCGCTCCGAGGGGGGACCGCGCGCGCGCGACCACGACCAGCGTGAGTCCACTAAACAATATGAATCACAACAATTTGTTTTGTACAAAGAAAAATATTTAAACGTATTTCATAGTCATGCTAGTTTTAAATACATTAAGTAAAGTAAAAATTTAATGTTTTACAGACGAAGACCAACTTATTTATTGACCGTTTCTTTTTATAGTTCAACATCGACGGTCGATGTCGGAGTTAGAGTGGATGGCGGGGTGCGAAGGGCAGGGTGGAGCGGGCGCCTCCCACCGCTCCGCCTCCGCCCTCGCCGGCGAACGTCGCGCCCCCCCTCCGCCCCCCCGCCTCGCGCGCCTGCACCGCCTCGCACATATCATGCTACTGCGGGACGCGCACGCCGCGCCGCACCCCGCACGCCGACCCCTCGACACCTTCCGGGGAGTCAAGAAGATCCTGGAGCCGCCGCACTCCCGCGCGACTGGATTCTCATCCTGCGCCGAACTGCCGAGCCCGCTGCTGCGCGCCGACGCTACACTGGACTCGACCCTCTCTGACGACGAGCCGCGTGCAGCCTCACTACCCTCGTCCCCGGCGCTCTCCCGTCGGGGCAGCTTCGACACTCCACCTCCGCCGGCGCCCCGCCCTCCGCGCCTGCCGCTGCCGCGCGTGCGCTCGTGTGAATCAGGAATCTTCTCCGTCGCCAACGAGGAGCTGTGCGGGCAGCGCGTCGGTGCCGGTTGCCCGTACGGCGCCGTGTGTCCGTGCTCGCTTGTCGGCTGCCATCGTTGCTGGTGGTGGCGTCGCGACGCATCGGATCGCTCCGACGAGCTCGAGGAGGCGGAGGGCGAGGCGGGCGGCGAGCCCCGCGCGCGCATGTGCTGCGCGTGCGTGGTCACGTACGACCGCGCCCTGGACGCACGCCCCCCGCGGCCCCGCCCCTCCGCCCCGCTCGACGACTCCGCGCTCTCCGGCACCACGCTCAGCTCGCTGCGCAGCCTGGACGACCTAGACGAGGCCGGCGACCCGCCCTCGCCCTTCCTGTGCGGCAGGCCGGCCGCCATGCGCGCGGAGCCCGACTGGGAGGCGGACGGACCCCGCGAGTACCACATCCTGTCCCGGTGTTGCTGCGCCGACCGGCGGCTGGACGAGGACGAGGCGCCGCGCCCCGCCCCGCTGGCGCTATCGTCGTGCAAGCGCACCTCCAGCGTGTACACGGACAGCTCGGAGGACGTGGCGTCGCTGGCCGGCTCGGACAGTCTGTACTGCGACGAGCGGTACCCGCGGCAGGCGCGCTCGGCGCAGATCTCGAAGATCGTGGAGTACTTCGAGCGGAAGGGCGCCGACTTCACGTGCGAGCGGACCGGGCGGGGCCAGTCCCGGTACCGCATGAGCGGGGGCGGCGCGGGGCTGGACGTGCGGCGCCGCGCGGGGGGGGAGGAGGGCGGCGGCCGCAAGTGTCCCGCGCAGCAGCGGCTGATGATCTGCGAGGGCGCCGTCAAGTCCAAGCTGCCGCTGTTCGACAAGAAGTCGTAGCGCCCCCCGCGCGTGACGTCACGCACCGCGCCCCCTCCCCCCGCCGACGGAGGCTCGGCGTTGTATATTGTCGATAGTTATTTTGACGCGTACATATTGTAATCAAATATATTTACGACTGAATAAGTGTAAGGACTCGTCTCTGGTTGCGAGATGAGAATAATGGTTGTAACGTTTAGTCAATGTCCGGGTTGTAACTGCGCGGCCTAAACCCCCCCGTGGTAGTACGAAGCGACTTTAGTCGAGTGTAGGTTAAATATATTTAAATTTAATTCGTTTCATGTGAACCCTTCCTCTATTTGTAAAACTGTAAATAATTATTTTATTACTACAAATAAAAAATAGTTTATCAATATTTATTATATACAACTTCAGATACAACTTGCCAGTTTGCGATATTTAAGAGTGTAAATATGTTTTTTTTCTTTTTTTGTCTTACTACATATTTCGTATCTATAAATGGAAGTTATATATTTTCTTCTCTAAATCAACAATTTAATATCGTCGTTCAAGTGACAGTTTATATCTGTGTCTGATAACAATAAAACATATTTCAGGAATCACATAAACTAAATTAAATAATTAGTAGAATTGGTTTTATACAAATATTATGTTTTTGAAATACTGAAATGATTTTATTTTTCATAAATCTTTGATGTCATTTCCAGTATATATTGACGATCACTTACATAGTTATGTGAATAAAATTTAACTAAAAGTGCATTAAATACAGTTTACATAATCAATAAAAAAAAAGGAAAATTTTGATTCGCGGTCATATTGTACTTTTATGAAGGACATGTTATTGGAATATAGTTTTAGCAAATCTCAATCGTCTTCTAGATCATTCGATTAGAGTCTGGAACGACGCGGAGACTAGTCTACAAGGTTTTTGAATCAGATGTTGCTGATTGAATTGATCAGCCTGTCAGCGGTGTAAAAACAATGTTAATGTCATCTGTGACGATTTATCATAATCAAAGGAGTTGTGCGAAATTCGCTATTCAACAATAGATGGCGTTACACTTCTCGAACGCTCCGAATAGTACTAGTTGTTTTATATCCGTTTCTGCTATTTGGTGACAGATGGCGTTACTCGTACGAGCGCAACGAAAATAATTATGTCAAAAGTAAAAGTACAAAGCTGAAAAAATTCAAACAACCCAAACCGCACACTAATTTTGATAATCAGCGCGTTTGTTGAATTTTATTTACTAACAAGAGAAAAACATCAAGATATTGAAAGAAAAGAGACAAAATTAAAATCATTTCAGAAGTGAGTGGGCTGTGAGAGCGTTTTAATCTTAGACTGGAAAGATAACGCATATATTCGAATAGTGACGTCATTGTTTACGCGCGTCGTTCGAATGGTACAACGGCACTCGCCTTGCGGGAAAGAGACAGAGCGAGTCGCCTCAGTCCGTCACGGTCACGTCTCGGAACTCTATTGGTCGATTAATAAATAATGACGTCAATTCACATTAGTTTATTTTGACGAAGATTAAATCCACCCACGGGCTTTACGATGAGAACATTACTGTATCGAAAGGATAATAATATAGAGATACGTTTGGAATAGGCTAATAATTGTCGCGTTCGTTTATTGACGAACCTATTATGACGTCCTAAAGAGTTTTAAAATTCGGCGAAAACGGAGAGGGAATGTCTTCTTTGAAAGCGTCGCTTCGTTATATCGAGGATGTAAAATGATATTTGGTTTAAACGAAATTTTTGCAACTTTACACGCGAGCCGTTTAAAATTTGGAAAAAATATCGTAACAAAACAACATATTCAGCTGTTTGAATTGAGTAAACTTAATTGAAGTTCATTTAAAAATATGGGACTGTTGATGCTAATACCAAATAAAGCACACCTTTAAAAGATAAACGTCGCGTATTAAGCGAAACGTTGCGTTTTAAGCGAAACGTCGCGTTTTAAGCGGAATGTCGCTTAAATTAAATAGCCTTTCGCTCCTCGATATATAATATATATACAAATAGTTACGTTGCGGTATCTCTGCGTTTGAAATATAGATTTATATGAAACAGTCAATTCGATACGGACACATGAGGTTCGCGTGCGGGAGGCGTTGCTAGTCTTTTAAAACGCGATTTTCCGCACATGAGGCCGTCGGCTTTGATTTTTTATGAGGCCGCAAATAAATTCTACTTACGTGACGATAGGTTTTCGTGTCTTAAATTAAATAAATACGTCTTGTAATATTTATATGATCGGGGTGTTACGGGCGGTAGATGAATAGCGTATTGTGAGTCCGGGCGGACGGGTACCTTGGACCTGCGCGTTTATGCCACGAAGCAAACATGCGTTACGGTTTGATAAACGCGGCAGCCGTTGTATAAACTACTTCGTATCTATTTTTTTATGGCTTAGTTGGGTGGACGAGCTCACAGCCCACCTGATATTAAGTGGTTACTGGAGCCCATAGAGGTCTACAAGGTAAATGCGCCACCTACCTTAAGATATAAGTTCTAAGGTCTCAAGTATAGTTACAACGGCTGCCCCACCCTTCAAACCGAAACGCGTTACTGCTTCACGGCAGAAATAGGCAGGGTGGTGGTACCTACCCGTGCGGACTCACAAGAGGTCCTACCACCAGTAAAGTATCTCATACCGACTGGGTCGTCGGTTAAAAATAAATTGTTTTATACCCTAGATTTTGGTAAATCAACGACCACAGACCATATTGAACGTCTCTGTCAGCGCCAAGTACCTTGAGCATTCGCTAATGCCGCCCGCGAGACAAATCGACCTCAAACATAGTTGTGTACAAATATGTGTCAAAAAAACCTCAATTGTGTTAAATAATAAAACTCTTTTGTATTGAGAATATCGATTGTTTTCGAAAAACGTTTATACAGTTGCAAAAGTCGACTTTAATAATTCCCTTCCCGTGCGTCAGTATTGGTATCAGTAAGAAATTGTTATGGAGTTACTATTTATCGAAATCACACGGAACTGCCGATAGAAATTAGTAATAATCTCATTAAAACATACTTTTAATTAATTTAATCATCAATTTTGTTTCGTTTATAATTTTGCGTGATGCTTTATCGTAAGGTATAAATAAATACTCAAACAGTTCGCAGACTCTAAACTTCCTCGACCTCGACTCAGTCGAGGCTAATATTGATGAACACCTCGAGGAGCCTTTGAAAACGGTATTCCTAGTTTTCGTTCTTGACATTGTCGATCTTAGAGGTTGGAAAATAAATATACTATATTTAGTACTGGAATAATTCTGTAAATCTAAATAAAGTAAGCATTGCGTCAATGTAATTTCAGACGTACCTCTTATGGTCGCTTATAGATTTTACCAACTAAGAGTACCGATTTCCGTAATATATTCATATGCGTTTATATTTTTAACGTCAAGTAAATATTAAATAGTTACGTAAATGGAAACGATGATCATCGGCCCGGAGACCTAAGGCTGGTCACAAACCGCGACCGTTATCGTCCGTTCGTGTGGGACGCCTACTGACGCATCGGAAAGCCATTAATAAATTTTCTGAAGCACATCGTGCCATCATCCAAAAATGTATTCTGAATCACTTTGCTGATGATTCCTTAGCCTATTTCTCTTTGACTAACTTTTGAGGAAGTTCTTTAACCACCGAAACTATAATTTGAAAATGGCTCGGGCGGGAATTGAACGCACAAACGAAAAACGACCTAATAACATTTGTACATAAGTGTCAGTTCACGTTGAAACCCCTACTTCAGCAGTCTGTCACTTGAATTAAATCGTTTTTAACAATCGATATTGACACGAATATCCAAACTAATATTTCTGTAAATACAGTATTAGATGCGTATTTAATATTAATAAAAAAAAAATATTTATCAATATACATTTATATGTATCTTTAACTTGGTTTTACGGTTATTGTTATATTCAGGGTATAAATGAGTAAATTAAAGGTTAATAATGATGATAATAATAGTAAAATAACTATACGACGTATTCACATTTCGTTAGAAGTGAACGTGATCGCGGCAAAATCGGTTGTTGTAAATAGTTCCTTTGTAATTATAGAGGAAGACGATGGCTGAATTGAATTAGGAAACTTTTATGAGACAATGATATCATTAATAGTGAACAATGATATACGTTTTTTATTTATTTGAAATTTCATTTTACAAAAACCATGGTTTCAGTGGTATTGTGGGCTGTATGGATGAAAAATATTTATCCTTAATTAAACTGCTCTGAATCCAAAGATCAGCTCAAGATTTTCGAAGAAAAGAAACAGGAAGTGAGGCCAAATCATGATAACAATTTTTATACGAATTAGCGTCGCCATCTTTAACGGCTTCATTTGCTAGTTGGTCTGCTATGTCGTAAATATTTTAAATTTAATAAAAAGGAAACATGGTCTTTTATTTGAAATGGTTATATTAATCGGTTGTTATTTGAATTTTTTTGAGTCAAAATAAACCATAAATTATGACGCGTTTCAATGTGATATCCATGTCACAATTTCATTGTTCTTGTGCATTGCTTCGAATTCAATTCAAACATCACCGCGGTAAACGTTTCATAGTTATTCAGTTGCTGACACGATGCGAGTTAGGTTTTGAATTCGCAATCGCTTGACGTGTTCCTGTCATGGGTCTTGCGAAGTCTAAAACCGACGCAAATAAATTCAAACAGTGCCAAAATTATTTATTAATACCGTATCGTTTACAAGAAACGCGAGTGTTGAAACATTAAGATTTTTTCTCAATTTAATAATATCTCTAAAACATTTACAAACATCCGTCCATTAATATCAATATGGCAACCCTACTTTTCAGTGTTGTCGATCGAAATATTAAAATTATTTAATCCGTTACAGGTGGTGTTTTTAATTTTTAAATATTTCAACACTTGTTTTCTAGTATGGCAACACTACGAGCATATCATTTTATAGGCGAACTAATATATAGTTGAATTGTTTAATTAATAAACATATGTTAGTGTTTAGTTATTTCAGACTCTAATGATGCGTTATTCGTATTAATTTCGAGTATAATTATTAAAAAACATCAGTAACTGAACTAAGTATATTATTTGATTACCAGCGGTTTCTGAATTGCCTTAATTCATATCAAACGAAAATCTGAATTTCATTAAATGTTTACTCGATAATATTACAAAATGACCAAACATTATATCGGATAATAAATGTTCTGAAAAATCGAAATCATGCATTGTGTTATATAAAAGCATATATTTCGGATTTGTTGAATCGTTTTCCAATTCAGAAACCACTGAGGTGTCTTGATTTTAATCAAATAAATGTATGATGGCAACCCACGCCGCTGCGTGTACACAAGCGTTTGAAATTCTCTCTTATCGATTTCAAAACACATTTTCATGAATGTTATTGATAACATTCATGAAAATGAATTATATAGAAATATACATAGAATATACATAATATACTTAGAAATATAAAAAAATCGACATTAAAGTCTGTCTAAAATCTATATAAAAAGATATATAAATAAACGAGAGATATTTGAAAATTATTCATCATCAATGAAACATTGCAGAAACAATAGTTGGTGTTAGGACTTGTGTATTTTTTCTAAGACTATAAATTTTAACAATAATAAGTGTATTCTTTGAAACACTGTCACCTATAAATTTCCTATTATAAGACAGACGCTTGTGCTCACGACAAATAAACTTTTCTTTTGGAAGTATATATATAGTTCGTTAACCTTCTTCCTTTAAAGTAACTAACTTTAGAGCATTTCGGTACATAGGTATGGTTGTGTAAGTTCCCAGGAAATGTTTATGTTAAGTTGTTTGCCGCATGAGGCGGTTTATGGAAAATAATTTGTAAAATGAAAGGCGGTATTAAATATATTTTGTTTCATAACAGTTGTTTTATTTATAAAATTATTGAAGTGAAACTTCTGATGCGACTTCCAACAAGGTTGCGTTAAACGTTTAATATCTACCATGGAATAGAAAGAGATAGAGCGAGAGTGAATGCGTGGCACTCGAACGCATGCGCGTAGTATACCTGTTACAGGCCAGTGCGAGCGTTAGCAACGAGTAGCGTCCAATATCTTAATGAAGTATTTAAAAAAATACATATATTTATTTTTCTGTCTATAATTTCAAAGATATATAATATAAATATTGAAGATGTCGCATCTCTTATACACAGCATTCCCAATCGCAAGAGCAATATGATTTAAGGATGAAAAATTAAGAAAATCAAAATACTACACATCGAAAAAGAAGTTTCACTTCATTCACGTGCGCCAAGTTGCACGCGCATAATTTGGATCGCGCAAACGTGGCTAAAAAAAATTTATTTGAATTTTTTGATAACGCGTATTGTAATGTCGTATTTCGCTCCTGTTTAGGAAGTTGTATAAGATAACAATTTCCGTTTCATATTGCGGCCATTTTTGTTATTGCACAACAACGCAGTCGGTCGCGTCATGATGCTACTGTCAAACTAAATAATTACGTCGGCCATAATCTTAAACATTATCGAAAAATAAGTCTAGTTTGAAACTGATAATATCAATGAACTGATTCATAATTATTGTCGAGGATTATTTTGTTGTTACGAAAATAAAAATGTAATTAAACACAGCACCCGTACATAATGTCGCTGATAAGATAGTTTTCCGGGAATCAACAACAAAGGTGTTTGTAATTTTGTAACCAAAAAATTTACTTAACTCGGCCCAAGAGTGTACTATGTCCTCTAGTGTTCCATATTGCAGTAGATGGTCGTGTCGAAAATAGTCCACATACCAAAAATAGTGTAATCAACTAAAACAGAGAATAGATCAGAACGTTCTCGAATGTCTAAGGTTGCGTTGTATTTCACAAGAACATCCAGCGACACGCGCAAAAACATATCATACGATCAGTGGCGTAGCTACCCAGGGGCTAGGCGGGGCAGTGCCCCGGGGCCCTCAAACTCAGGGGGCCCTCGAATCCTTACCAGAAATCTCGATCGAACTGAACTTTTGGAAATTTCTCCCATTTTCAAAATAAATATAACAGGTAGTAGCCCCACTTTAATCATGACAACAAAGTTGAGAGAAATTCAAAAGTTATGTCTAGGGAATTCCCCTAAAATCTTTCTGTAAGTTGGCAGTGTTGTCAATTTGACGGATAGTGATATTATGTGCGTTTTATTATTCATCGATGTGCATTTTATTGTGAAATCGAGTGAAGTTTTTTTTTTCGAAAATGGTTAAAAATTAATGCTGTATCAGGAGTAAGTAAATTGATGTCAATAAACTTTTTTGTACTGGTCAATATAGTGGTTCAATTTTATTTGATTTTACTACTCATATTGATCTCCGTTAAGTCAAAAATCGTGTCAAATCTATAAATTTCGGCTACAGCGATCCGCAGGCAGGAGA